AACTTGCTCCTATCTTCTCTATTCAGCCTTGGGCTGGCAAAATCACTCAACTTGCTCATCACTCTTAACTATCTAGTTTTCCCTTCCACAGTTCCTTCCTGCTTATCCTCAAATAAAATGCCGTTCTTAAAGAAGATGTAGCTACCACACTCCTTGTCCAGAGGGGTGTTATGAACAGCATTCCTTTGTTGTGCAGCAATCACTCTACTTTTAGTGGAACCATCTTCAACCAGTAGCCCTTTATAGTTCTGGAGTAAATGGGATCAAAACATACAATGCCTCTGGGTTTTGGGTTTTGGATTGGTTTGGAGAAGTATTTGGGACAAAGTGAATTCTTTATGACTTTTTCCTATTAACAGGGGTTGGCGGGAAAGAGTTGTGTTCCTTTTCAAATAAGAGAATGGGCTTGGCATCCTACAAGTTACACTAAAATGGATGTTCTCTCTCTGTGTGTGTGTCTTTCTCTCTTTCTCTTTTTCTTTCTCTCTTTTCTCTTTCTTTCTTTCTCTTTTTCTCTTTTCTCTCTTTATCTCTCTTTCTCTCTCTTTCTTCTCTCTCTCTTTCTCTCTCTCTCTCTCTTTCTTTCTTTCTTTCTTTCTCTCTCTCTCTCTCTTTCTCTCTCTCTTTCTCACACACACACACACACACACACATCCTTCTCCTCCTCCTCCTCCTCTGCACCTGGAACTCGTTGCTGGTACTCCTGTATGTGCGTCTGCAGAACAAGGGCACAGCTCTTAATAATTATGTCAGCGAAATGACAACTGTGCTCTTTGCAGGAACAGAGATGAATAATTACAAAGCTGAGACATAATTAAGCAACTTTGACTGTCCTATTCTTGAGCTGTCATTCTGATGTGAAGAGCTGTCAGAGACAGCAACATGCTTCACCCTGGACAGGCATCTTCTACTTTGATCAAGCTTTATGCCAGAAAACCAGATTGCAGTACCGGTCATTAAATGAAGCTCCCTTTTTTGGCATAATGCCCCTTTGCCTAGCTAGACTTCCAGGCTCTTTTTTATTTCTATTTTAAATCAAGCATCAGACGGATGTTCAATATTTTGACACTTCTAAATATAAACATTGCTGGGTAATGAAGTTCAACGCATTTCACGCAGCAAGAGAAAAAGCCCAGCTTTGCTATGTGTTAAGCTGTTTTCTAATGAACGGCCATCTTCCCCATCGTGACAGTCCCATCATAAACAGACTCAAAACCACAAAAGATGAAATGAAGCAAAGAAAAACCAAGCCGTACTCCGCTAGGAAAACATAAAATAAAATAAATATCTGAGGAAGGCAGGGAGTTAGGCAAAATTAAATATTGATAGCTCCCTCAAATGTTGGGCGTTTGCTAGTTACTTTTGCATATAAGTCAACACAAGCCAGTTGGAGGAATATATTCTGCCTTGTGTCTCATTCTCCGTGTTGCTTTTAGAGGGGAACGTGCTCTCTAAAGACTGTGATGTCAGAGTGAAATGAGTGGAGTAACTCTACTCTTGTGTCTCGTGTTTCCCGCCCCCCTTCTGAACATGTTCTCGGATGCCAATTTAGCACCATAAAATTAGACTTAAATTCAGACACTTCATGAAAATAGACTATAAAGGCAGCACAGAGTTCAAAAAAGCACAATTCCGTGTCAAGCCAATTAATGTTTGCAAGGATATTTCATTTTCCCCTCTGATAATTATTTGGATAACACGTCTCACAAATCCCTCTCAACGCCCACATTGACACATATGTAGATTTGAAATGAATATGACTCTAACGAGGAACGTGTGCAAACAACAACAACCGATCCATCATTCTTGGGGTCAAAGACCAGCGTAAAATAATAACCCTCTTTTCTTCTTTTTTTATAAACCATAAAGACATGTTTCACAATGAAGTCGCTTAAGGTGTAAGAATACGGTCAGGGGAAAACAGATAGTACTGAAATCCTACTGGGAACAAAACAAATATGAACATTTTATGTAGCTAAAGACCAGGAAAACCTTGAATAGCAAAACCTGAGTTGCACCAAACATTTCTACAAAGCATGAATCAATACAGCAAGGGATGGTTTCTGTAAACCAGGGGTCTTCAAACTCGGTCCTTTATGACTAGTGGACTTCAACTCCCAGAATTCCTCAGCCAGGCACTGGCTGAGTTTGAAGACCCCTGCTGTAGACCTTCCCAGAGTCAAATCTGCTATGATTTCTTTTACAGTTATAACCTCATAACTCAAAAATGGTCCAGAAGATGCAAGTGGTAGAGAAGGACCTGCCCATTCTGTGACATCTTAGGATTTCAAAGCTAACTTCCTTCAAATAATATCCAAATTATGCCCAAAGATCAACTTGTAGAAACCTGGAGAGATTATTCTCATGGTGCAGAAATCCAGGAATAAAATCTTGCAGACCTCTTTCTTGATGAAATCTTCTTTTAGATAACAACCAAAGTCTATTCTGTTAACTCGGGCATTTATACGCTACTCTACTCTACTCTACTCTATTCTACTCTACCCTACCCTACCCTACCCTACCCTACTCTAGAGTCAGATCATCTTTTAGAGCTGGACAAATTGCTTTTCTTTTAAAAGACTAAACCTTGCTTTGAAGTTTATGTCTAAGGATCGGTGGTTTTTATTGTTGCTGTTTTCTGAATCTAATGACAATCATTAGAGTACTTACAGTCATCCCAGCAACAACTTCCAGAATAGTCTGTGTGGTACAGAGAAGGATTTGCCCGTACAGATTTTATGCAACAAATTCATTTTAATGGATTCAAACCAACTCTACACTTTCTTGGATAAACCAGTAGATGAGCAACATATAATAAAGCATAATAATAATAATAATTCTATTGAACACAAAGAGGCATGTGCTCATGACACCTAAAATGCTTAGAAAAGGTAATATATTATGCTAGCTAAGACCTAGCAATTTGGCAGCAAGCAATTTTAGAAAAGCCTACCAAAACGTTAAACCAGAACCAAGCGCTAAAAGGAGTGGAGGAATAAATACATCTTTTAGAGAAAGATTTAGCAGATAACTAATTCAAAAATTATATTGTTTGCAACCTGGAATGGGGATTGTTAGAAAAAGCCCCAAGACTTCAGATTACCCAATGAGTTTTGAAAAATCTTCCTTCCGGCCATGGATGGAAAAAAACTACAGATTAGAAAGTGTCCTTAAACTCACTTCTTTCCTTGATTAAATTTCCTTTAAAAGAATTTATCTGTCAACCGTGCTGAAAACATTAAAATATAGGGATCCAGATTTAAAATATGATGATAGTAGGACACTGGGACTTGATAGCCAAGATTATAAAACTACAGTAGTCATAATTTGCTATCATTACAGAAAGGAGATGGATAGTGATATGACATTGCAAATTTAGGAACGGAGGCAGCCTTTAGCTAGGAGCAAACAATTTCACTTGTTACAGATTATATTGTGAGGGGGGGGCAGAATATTTTAAAGACATTAATAAAGGGTGCCAATCGAATCGGTTAAAAAGAACCATTCAAATATTAATACTTGCAAAAGAAATGAGGATTGATTTTCTTCTTGCCTCTGTTTACGACCGCCATTTATGTTGCAAAGCGGGACATTTGCTAAGTGAGCTTTGCCCCATTTTACGACCTTTCTTGCTCCAGTTGTTAAGTTAGTGAGACGGTCATTAAATGAATCCAGCTTCCCCCTCTGATTTTGTTTGTCAGAAGGTCGCAACTCCCCCCCCCGGGACATGGCAACCGTCAACAATGTGAGTCAGTCGTTAAGTGTCTGAATTTTGATCACGTGACCTTGGGGATGCTGCGACAGCCGTTAAGTGTGAAAAATGATCCCCTGTCCCTTTTTTCCAGTTCCGTTGTAGCTTTGAACGGTCACGAAATCAGCCGTTGTAAAGCTGAGGACGGCCTGTACAAGCCATACGCATATTTGCGAACAGTGTTCGTCAGGTTGAAATAAAGAGCCCCACTGTCAATACACACACACACACACACACACACACACACAAACAAACAAACAATGAAATTTAAAAATGGTTCAATATGCAGAAATCTTACTAAAGAAGAATGTTTTTGCCAGTTCTTCCTCCAGCGAAGACCCCATCCTGCCCTGATCTCAATTTGTTTTCCCCAATTCTCAAAAGCAGGTTAGAGGTAACACAAAACAGCCAGGCAGAAAAGAAAAGAAAAAAAAATAACCCATTAGAAAAATAAGTCTGAGAAAATAACATTTGCTGATTTCTCCCAGCAAATTATTTCGACAGCAACACCGGTGACATTTCCAATGGTTGGAAAGTGAGAACCAGCCTGTGAAATTAACATGACCTGGTTGATCAAAGTTGATCAAAAGAAGGCGAATCAATGTTACAAAGTCAACGCATACGTGGGGAGCACTCATTTAATAAACTTAATCTTGGTCTGGGAAAGCCAAGGGAAATCGTCAAAACAATTAAAAAACAAAAGTTAGAATATTTCGGACAGGTGATGCGACACCCAGAAAAATACGGCATAATCCATTTCATCCTCCAGGGAAAGATTGAAGGCAAACAAGGTCCAGACAGAAGAAGAACATTGTGGCTTCAAAATCTCATGGACTGGTTTGGACAAAACTCAGCAGCACTTTTTCACACAGTTGCTCATAAAAATAGGATCACCAACATTATTGCCAACGTCCGATGACGGATATGGCACAAGAAGAAGAATCCATTTAATAAATGCACATAACAAAAATGGATATTATTTTTTCCCCACGGACACCACCAATTCTTGCCGAGGGGAACCGATTCCTTAAATGGCCGTGCAGAACACAATTAAAAGAACAAAAAAGGAGGCTAATTTTAGCCAGCTTAATATAAAACGTTGACATTGGTTCTTGCCGTCTAGCTTTTATTTTCAGCGGAGGAACAAATCTGGACACCCCCCCCCCAAAAAAAAGTTTAAATGGAGCGCTCTCCAGCCAGCTGTCCCTTCCAAAAAAACATCATCCCAGTTCCCGCTTGAGGGGCTCACCTGGTGATTGAGAGGCTTCACCACCTTCATGAAGGCTCCCCTCAAAATGGCCTCCTCGCGCTCCTTGCTGCTGACTCTCCGAGAATCCAGAAACTTCAGTTTGGTTAATTTGTGCAGGACGAAATACCTGATCAAACCAAAAAATAGAGGTTACTTAGAAAATGCTTTCAACCTAGAGTGCTGTTTTCCCAGTTAACATATTTAAGATGAGGGTATTTTAAGAAGGATCTCTATTTCAATATCTTTCCATCCTTCCTCCTTCCATTTCTCCCTCCCTCCCTCATCTATCTATCTATCTATCTATCTATCTATCTATCTATCTATCTATCTATCTATCTATCTATCTATCTAGGAAATAGAATTTGTGTAACAATGCATAATTCACTTAACAATTGCAGTGGGTGGCTCAACAACCAATGGCAACATGGCCCTAAAATCTGGTGAGTTGTTTAACCCACCTGGATCCCAGTAGTTTAGGTTGAGGGCTACCTGGGTACTTTTTTCTCAAGAACTTAATATAATAATAATAATAATAATAATAATAATAATAATAATAATAATAATAATAATAGTAGTAGTAGTAGTAGTAGTAGTAGTAGTAGTCGTCCAGACAAAAAAGTCTGGATAGTGGATGTGGCAGTGCCTGGAGACAGCAGAATAGACGAGAAAGAACTGGAGAAGATAACAAAATACAAAGACCTACAAATAGAAATTGAAAAACTGTGGCAAAAGCAAGCAAGGGTAGTACCAATAGTCATAGGCGCCTTGGGTGCAACCCCAAAACAACTGGAGCACCACTTGAACACCATTGGCATTGACAAATTTGCTATTAGTCAATTGCAAAAGGCGGCCTTACTAGGAACTGCTTCCATCCTGCGACGATACCTGTGATACCGTCAAACATCCACATCTGCCTATCCCAGATCCTGGGTAAGGACTCGATAGGTAGACAAAATGCCAAATCCAGTCTGAACATCTGGCTGACTGTGCGATGATCAATAATAATAATAATAATAATAATAATAATAATAATAATAATAATAATAATAAATAGTAGTAGTAGTAGCAGTAGTAGTAGGTAGTAGTAGTAGTAGTAGTAAAGTTGGAAGGGACCTTGGAGGTCATCTAGTCCAACCCTCTGCTCAGGCAGGAAACCCTATAACATTTCGGACAAATGGCTGTCCAGTCTCTTCTTAAAGACTTCCAATGTTGAAGCATCCACCGCTTCTGGAGGCAGGTTGTTCCACTGGTTAATTGTTCTAACTGTCAGGAAGTTTCTCCCTAGTTCTAGGTTGCTTCTCTCCTTGATCAGTTTCCATCCATTGCTTCTTGTCCTGCCCTCAGGTGCTTTGGAGAATAGCTTGACTCCCTCTTCTTTGGGGCAGCCCTTGAGATATTGGAAGACTGCTATCATGTCCCCCCTCGTCCTTCTCTTCATTAATCTAGACATACCCTAGATGTAGCCTGTTAAAATGCTGCAAATAGTTGTTATATTAAGCTGCCGCTAAAAGAAAACAAGCAGCATTATTCATAAACCTGTACATTGACTGAAGAAAGGAGGAGGAGGAGGAGCCAAGTATAACATCTCAAAAAGCCTTAGGGCTTTATGACAAATGTCCCAAAGAATCAAATTTTTTTCAGTTTTGCATGAACAAATAACTTTACAATTAGGGCCATTGCTATATTTTCTTCCAAGGATGCTGAGGGCAAAGCACTGAACCATTTTGTGTGTAATCTTATATGCAGCAGAGATACAACTCTGTGTGGGCTAACTTGCTGCAAGATACTTTATTATTCTTGATTTGTGTTCCAGTGACTGCACTCACTATTTTTTTTTTGCAGTTTTCTTTGAGCAGCAAAGCAATTCCATCTTTTTCAAATTGCCTTTCCCCCGCCAAAAATTTCCTTTGCAGTCAATAATGCTCTTGAGACACTCTTTGGTATCAGTCAAACATAAAATCACTTGAGCAGCCAAGGGAAAAATCAATTAAAAAAAAATATCCAGAGCAACAAAACAATCAAATGTTAAAAAACCCAAGGAATCTTGAGAATGGAGAGTGGACAGGAAGTAAAAATATTTATAACAAATACTCAAATTACCTCAAAATTAATCTCAGCTAAGTTTCTTTGGGGACATCCTACATATAGGCAGGAAAAATCAAAGAAATAAATGCAAATTGGGTGAGACCTGGTTCAAAAACAGCAACTGTGAGAGGGACCTTGGAGTCCTAGTGGACGATCACTTGACTAGGAGCCAGCAGTGTGTAGTAGCAACCAAAACAAATAATACAATCCTGGGTTGTGTAAACAGAGGCATAGAATCAAGATCACGCAAATATTAATACTGCTTTATAAAACCCTAATAAGACCACACTTGGAATACTGCAGCCAGTTTGGGTCACCATATCACAGAAAAGATGTTGAGAGTTTGGAAAAAATTCAGAAAAGAGCAACTAAGATGATCCAAGGCCTGGAGACTAAAACATAGGAAGAACAGCTGCAGGACTTGGATTTGGCTGGTCTAAAGAAAAGAAGAAACAGGGGTGACATGATAGCAGTGCTCTAGTATCTGAGGGGCTGCCACAAAGAAGAGGGGGTCAAATTATTTTCCAAAGCAACAGAAGGCAGGACAAGGAACAATGGATGGAAACTAATCAAGGAGAGAAGCAACCTGGAATTGAGGAGACACTTTCTAACAGTGAGGACAATTAACCATTGGAACAGATTGCCACCAGATGTTTTGGGTGAGCCATCACTGGAGGTTTTTAAGAAAAGACTGGACAGTCACTTGTCTGAAATGTCACAGGGTTTCCTACTTGAGTGGGGGCTGGATGGAAGACCTCCAAGGTCCCTTCCAGCTCTATTTTGGTTGATTGATCTGTAAGTTAGATCCTTCTTCAGTTTCCTCTAAAATTTCCCTTAGGAACTGGAAGACCGAAGCATAGACCCACACATGTTGCTTTATTCACAAAAAAGTAGACAGAACATGCCATGCCATGGCATAAATCAATGTTAAAAACAAAAACAAAACTTGGTCCTGAAAGGTGATAATATCAACTCATCTCAAGTAGTTGCTATTTACAGCCCGGCATTGAGATATGAAACAGACTTACTGGAGACTGGGAGAGGAACTGCCAGATCCATTCCTGGCAGGAAACAGAAAAGTGATTGATAATGTTCCTCACAAATGCCAAATTTATACAGACCATCATTCCAGAAACCAGCCTGACTCACAAGCAAACAGAGCTGGCTGCCTCACATACCCCGGGGGCTGAAATAGAAAGGGTGATCATTTTATAGGTTGATTTTTATGTGTCTGAACTCGACAAATTGAGTAGGGACCGGGCAGTAAGAGAACACTTGAATTTTCTCAAGGAAGCACTAAGAAGTCTTAAAAAAAAAACTGTCTAAACCCATTATTGGGTGCCTTCCAAGTTGGAGAATCAAGAGTGGTCACCCGTTAATTAATTATTTCGTCTTCTGACAAGCAGACCAAACAAAAAAGGACAGTCAGGGGTACTTTGTCTAAGATGGGGAGATTGTAAAATCATCATGAAATAGTATATGCACCCTGAGCTATGCTCAAACCCATTAGCAACCTGATCACAACATTCAGCCGTGTCACTTCCACAGTGGAATAACAGTCCCGAAAAGGAAAGGCCTCTTTTTAAAGTGTAACCATTGTTGAGCATTGCTGGATATCTTGGGATATTGAAATAGTCTCTCACACATCTCTGTAACTTCTCCAAATGGCCTTTCAGCTGCTGTTGGGCCTCTGATGCCCCTTATCTTCCAGGGGAAGGCAATACCCCTCTTGTGTTACTGCCAGAAAGACCCACATACAAGGGCTTCTTTCAAAAACCACCAACAGAAGGAAACAATATGTCAAGAGCAAAAGACTGGGAGGACTACAGACACCCCGCGTAAATGGAAGGTGAAAAAAGATGGATATTCAGGTGCAGAAAACAGCCAGGATTACCAAATCAGCCAACGCTGACGGATGTTGTGAAAGAACTGGGCCCTCATGAAAGCCCAATGGACAGATTACAGCAGCATTGTATCATCTCTTCGCCAACTTTGGGCCGAAGATGACATGTTAACCTTTCATGGCTCCATCAAAGAAGATGTGTCTTTGCAGCAGAACTATTAAGTCACGGTTGGGAACGTCTAAAATTCTTTTTTCCCGAAACAGAGAGAATAAGCGGCCCCCACATCCCAGGAAACAGGAGCGAGGCATTGAATGGCAAATGGATGATGGACACGAAAGTGTCTCCAGTTATCTTGGCAAGGCAGTGGTCACAGAAGAGAGGACAATGTAGCCGCCTTGTCATCGGTGTCCAATGACTCCTGTATTGTGGTGTCATTTTTGAAGAACAGAGAAGCAACTGACATCTGCCACTGCTTTTCCTTTCCATTCCTTTCTCAACACTTGGATCCCCTCTGCTCCGGAGACAGTATCGGGGACCCCATCTTTCCTCTTAGAGAGAGGCTCATTGGGCACCCCCCTCTGGACCGAGACATCTACTACTCCAAATCAGAAAGTCATCAAAGAAGGCCAAATTTATTTCTTATCAAATTCCTGGGTGTGCAGTTAATAAGTAGGCTGGCTTGGTTGCTCAACAGCGAGACCCTGGGGAAGCAGGGACAGCAGCGCCTGCATTTTCTGTGTTGCATGAGAAAAGCACATCTTCCTTCCCCTGTCCTCACCACTTTCTACAGAGAGACAATTGAGAGTATCCTGTCATACAGCATCACAGTCTGGTTTGGAAGCATCCCTGCTTCAGACAGGAAGGCGGTGCAGAGAGTGATGAGAATGGCAGAAAAGATTATTGGCAGTTCCCTCCTTTCCATCCAGGACATAGCACAGAAGTGTTGCTTGAGCAGGGTCCGCAAGATTGTTTGGGACACTACATAACCTCTTCACAATCTGTTTTCCTTGTTCCCTTCTGGGAGGGGAGGGGGGCTTTGCGGTATTCGAAGCAGAACATCCAGATTCAGTCACAGTTTTGTTCCATACAGTATTAACCTTGTGAACTCTCAAACTTCCTCTTTCCGTTATGTAGTATTTATATGTTATTTATAAATAAGAGTCTAGGCATATACATATGTTATTTATAGCATGTTTAA